GTTTTCTCTGCCGAATGCGTGCGGGTGTTTGACAGTTCTAATTTGTCCGTTGTGCTGTTGGGTCTTTTGAGTGAAGGCCTCCTTCCCCACGGCTCGATGTCTCACATGCGCACGTTGAGACCCGGTTCACCGTTACCGACTCTTTGCTGCCGTGCTTGTGCACTAATCATCACAAGCCGTCTGTGAACGAATCCTTCAATGTCGCTTGAAGGAGAGTCGCTCAAGAGTTTGCCATAAAACACTCATGTAGTTCCACATCCCAAAATTGGCCTTTCTATCCTGGTAGCAGCTGCATTAAAACTCATTAGACTTTTTCTTATTTACTTTAGTCTCTGTTGGCTGTTTCGCTAAAAATACCATGGCCTGCCTTACTTTTGTGTGTTCCATCATAGCCTCGGTACAGCAGGGCCTTAAACGCTGCACAGACTTTGTTGTAAATTAATTTGGAGGAGACTGTTTTGTGTACCTTTTGAAATTATACATCTATTTAGCCTCTCCACTGGAGTTGTCTTCCGGTTAAAGGCATCCTGATTGTTCATTTCTTGTTCATTTCTCAAGCTTGTAGTGTGGTAATGGGTTCATATTTATTTAAATCATTGTGCACAACAGAGCGCCAGCATCGGTTAGCAGTGATGGTCTGGTGATATGTTTCAATCTGGATTTCACGCATAAGGATCTTATTACATTCCTCTCGATGTGTATTAAATATGTGTTTAGACCCCTGTATCACTCGGTTTTGTAGTTCTTCATAGCGGTAGTAAATCGATTTGGAGAGTTAAATGGAATGCATGTGAGAACGTTGGACTGAGAAGACAGGAAGTTGAAAAATCTAAACACTACACTCTTTGGAAAATTAAAAAATATTTTTTCAATACTTTAGTTTTGAAACTTGACACACAAAAGAAAATTCTACTCGTCTAATTACCCTTACCTTACCCTTATAAAGTATGTCCAGTTTGGGGTCTGTAACGTTTTTGAAAGAAACTGAACAAGGCTGCATTTATTTGATCTAATATATAGTAAAAACAGTAATAATCTGAAATATTATTACAGCATAAAACGCATGTTTTCTATCGTAATATATCTTTTTTTTTCTGTGTTTTCAGTAGGCATTACTCCAGTGTCACATGATCCTTCAGAAATCATTCTGATATGCATTTCTTACTATTATTAATTATGTAAATAGTTGTGCTGCTTAATGTTTTTGTGGAAACTGTGTTATTAATAAAAAGTTCAAAAGAATATCCTTTTTTAAAAATAGAATTATTTTAAAGTCTTTACTGTCATTTTTTCACTTTTGAACAGTTTAATATGCCCATGCTAAATAATTCTAAAATGATTCTAAAAAAAAAAAAACTTACTGACACCAAACTATATATTATACAGTGGTGTGAAAAAGTGTTGTCCCCCTTCCTGATTTCTTATTTTTTTGCATGTTTGTCACACTTTAATGTTTCAGATCATCAAACTAATTTAAATATTAGTAAAAGATAACACAAGTGAACACAACATGCCGTTTTTAAATGAAGGTTTTTATTATTAAGGGAAAACTACATGGCCCTGTGTGAAAAAGTGTTTGCCCCCTAAACCTAATAACTGGTTGGGCCACCCTTAGCAGCAACAACTGCAATCAAGCATTTGCGATAACTTGCAGTGAGTCTGTTACAGCGCTGTGGAGGAATTTTGGTCCACTCATCTATGCAGAATTGTTGTAATTCAGCCACATTGGAGGGTTTTCGAGCATGAGCCACCTTTTTAAGGTCATGCCACAGCATCTCAATAGGATTCAGGTCAGGACTTCATTTTGTTTTTCTTCAGTCATTCAGAGGTGGACTTGCTGGTGTGTTTTGGATCATTGTCCTGCTGCAGAACCCAAGTTCGCTTCAGCTTGAGGTCACGAACAGATGACCGGACATTCTCTTCCAGGATTTTTTGGTAAACAGCAGAATTTATAAACCACAGTTTTAACAGGGGGGCAAACACTTCTTCACACAGGGCCAAGTAGTTTGGGATTTTGTTTTCCCTTAATAATAATAACCTTCTGACGATTTGAAAAATGACCATATCGCCCAACACTATTGTCCAATTATCGGTTATTGTCTAACGTGAAAATAATTAGCATCTTATCGGTATCGGCTAGAATTTTTATATCAGTACATTCATATGATGTGAATAATTTTTACCGTTTGATTTGTGTCTAAGTGTTGTATAATTAAATCTCATAATGAATATCCATTTTTTTATATTGCACATTATAAAGTTGATGCCTAAATTCACTTAGCATTTAAAATTATTTTATTTTATTTTATTTTTTTACTAAAGAGTAGAGAATTGTAATATTGTCCATTTGTCTGTTATTGACTTTAATTATGTAAATAATATGTAAATAATTATTGGCATATTGTTATCGGCCAGAATTTATACATCAGTATGTTCGGTATATCTTGGTGCATCATATGATGTAAATAATTTTACCTTTTGATCTGTGTCCAAGTTCCAAATAAGAAAAGTGAGTAATTGAAATGTGTATTTAATTTGCTGAATATTGTGTATCTGTGATCTCACGGGCTGGCGATATGACGATTTGAAAAATGACCATATCGCCCAACACTATTGTCCAATTATCGGTTATTGTCTAACGTGAAAATAATTAGCATCTTATCGGTATCGGCTAGAATTATATCAGTACATTCATATGATGTGAATAATTTTTACCGTTTGATTTGTGTCTAAGTGTTGTATAATTAAATCTCATAATGAATATCCATTTTTTTTATATTGCACATTATAAAGTTGATGCCTAAATTCACTTAGCATTTAAAATTTTTATTTTATTTTATTTTTTTACTAAAGAGTAGAGAAAGTTTTCTTCTTTACTCATAAGGAAGCCTTGGGGGGGGGGGGGAGCAGAAAAGAAAAACCTCAAGATGCTCTCACACCTTTTCAGTCGGACAGATCATTGTGTTGTCTAGACAAGCAACAAGGTTGAACCTAAACAACAGTGTGATCATGGGGTTTTGTCCTCCTTATTGTGACTACTTATCTGGAGTGTAAGAATGCTGTGCTTTTGTTGGGCGCTTGTGTAAACAGTAGAGAATTGTAATATTGTCCATTTGTCTGTTATTGACTTTAATTATGTAAATAATATGTAAATAATTATTGGCATATTGTTATCGGCCAGAATTTATACATCAGTATATTCGGTATATCTTGGTGCATCATATGATGTAAATAATTTTACCTTTTGATCTGTGTCCAAGTTCCAAATAAGAAAAGTGAGTAATTGAAATGTGTATTTAATTTGCTGGATTATCAAAGAATAGGCATTACTATATGGTTTTGTAATAATCTGTCAAATAATTTTGGGGTTGAATTTCATACAAAACTCACTATATTGCCATAGATACTTTTACTGTAATATAAAAATGTTTCGTAAAGTACATAAGGTAATTTTGCTCACACCACCATCCCTAGCCAAAATACAGTTATCTGCTTTACTCATCAGGAATCCTTGGGGGGGAGCAGAAAAGAAAAACCTCAAGATGCTCTCACACCTTTTCAGTCGTACAGATCATTGTGTTGTCTAGACAAGCAACAAGGTTGAACCTAAACAACAGTGTGATCATGGGGTTTTGTCCTCCTTATTGTGACTACTTATCTGGAGTGTAAGAATGCTGTGCTTTTGTTGGGCGCTTGTGTAAATGGGTGGTGTGAGCTTTTTTTGATGAAAAAAAAAAAAAAAAAAAAAATATATATATATATATATATATATATATATATATATATATATATATTGTTTAGTAGTTGATGTGTTTCAATTCATCCCAGTCTTGTTTACAGTACATCAGCTTTATCAAAAACAGACAATAGAAGAGCCACAGCCCATTAGTGGTCCAGATGGTTCAATGCCCAATGTGTTCGTCTGCATCTGTAACCGCCTCTCCCCTGCAAACCTAGCTGAACAATTATCACGCGCCTTATTACTGTCTGAGAGGGGGCAGCATTATAAATCTGAATTCTTTTAAATTTTCACCTGCCTATGTGATTAGCACCAACTGCTTTAAGGGCATTCATTCTGCCTCATATCAATAATTAATAAGCCAAGTTAATTTACTTCTGCCCGACTTGGTCAGCTTCATTAAGATGGTCTGAAATGGGGCTACAAGGCACTCCTCACCAGCGAGGGCCACGGTGAATGCAAAAGATATAAATCTAAGTGTCTATCTTGGGATGACATGAATGGATCAGTGTGTTGAAGGAGAAAACTAGACTTTTGAGAGTAATGCAGGACTGGGCAGTTAGATGGGAAGCGTTTGGAAGAACAAAAAGGCTTTTTGTGTGTCTGAATAGGCATCATTAAAGTGTAATGTATTATTGGAAATACTTTGGAAGTACATCGGAATATTTTCAGGTTTGTTTATTTGTGTGCGGGCCCAGGACTGTGGCGTTAACTCAACACCCAGGATGCAAACGTTTGCCGACAAGTTTTGAATTGGGAGATTTGTAATCTGACTGACTCGCCTGCCCTGTTTCCCATTAAAAAGCCATCAGGCTGTGGTTCTTCTGGGAGCAATGCAAGTAAATATATCTATTTCACTAGAACAAGTTTTGTTTGTGAGCGAGTGTGTTTTCTTGGGCCTCTCTGCTGAGACGTGACCGAGGTTGGGTTCCCATCCCGTTTGCTCTTTGCCGTTTCTTCATTCTTTTAGGCGCAGCAGAAAGAAGAAAGACGAACGGAAAATGATGAATAGCTTCTTTTAAGCTCGCACCTTTTCAGCCTGTGATGTGAAGAAAGATACAAGAAACAAAAGTGTTAAAGTTTATTATTACTATTATTATTAAACAAGAGTCATCCTTGCAGACAAAGCAGCACAGGCAGTGAAAGATGGGAAAAGTGAAATTAAGTGGTACAAACGGAAATTGATGTTTGCTTGAAATTGTTTTACAATTGTGTTTTTTGTTGTTGTTTTTTAAACTCCTGTTTTGTGTCTCCGCTGCAGGTTTTTAAGTCATGATGCAAGAGTCGGGGACAGAGGCGACAAATGGAACGGCCAATCAGAACGGCACCCCACCTAGTGTGGAGGGACACAGAGAAGTTCGATCCAAGAGTGCCACACCTTCCTCTGACATCACAGTGTCTGACCTTGTCAACTTCCAGCAGCAGCAGGTCTTTCTTTTCATTCAGTCCATTCATTGGTCATTCATTCATTAATTAATTAATTCTTCCTTTTTTCTTTTCCTTTATTCCTTCCATCCTCTTACTTTCTTTTTCTTTTTTCGTTCGTTACTTCCGCATTTTGTTCATGTATTAGTTTGTTCCTTCCTACTTTCATTTCTTTTTATTCATTCCTTCCATCTTTTGATCATTTGTTTATGTTGTTCCTCTCTTCCTTCTTTCATTTCTTCCTTTTTTATTTCTCAATTCAGTAGGGATGCACCGAATGTTTGGCAACCGAAATTATTCGGCTGAAAATAGCAAATAAAGAATAAGCGAAAAGACAGAATAAATTCTACCGAACAATGACGTGACGCGATCAACTAGCAACCAGCGAATAGTGAGAGGCGCGCATTCTTTATAATGCAGCACACATGTCAGCAGTGTGGAAGCATTTAAAACTGTTCGAGAAAGACGCAAAAATCATTACAAGCACCAGCGAGAGACTGTTTAGTACTGCATCGCATGTCTTCGATGAGAAAAGGAAGGGGTGATTGTTGCTGGTTACTGTATGACAGGGTTCCTCAATAGGCGGAAATAATGTGGCATGAAAATTCAAACGCAGCATCAGAAAGCTACATTAACTTATATCGTGTATACAATGGACGCGAGCGACGCGGCGCGACGCAATAAAATACAAGAACTCGTTTTAATCAGTGATGATGTCTTGGATGCGGCGCGACACGGCAAATCCCCGACAGTAAACTGCTGACTCGTTCTATTTATAATGTACTGACACAACGTTCAAATGATTTGCAATGCTTTGTCGCGTCCAGTGTATGCTAGATACGATGTGACAGCAAAAACATGGCGAGTGTGTAGAAAAAAAATGGACACAGAAAATAGATGATTCAAATGTGAATGGACTGAACAGTTTTGAGTGAGTGAGTGACTGATATCTTTGTTATGGAAAACACGTGTTGGTTCGCCGTGAGTTCACAGTTTTAACGTACAAGTTTGCTTTAATTTATTTTCAAGATCTGAGGTAAAATATCTGTTGCTTTCACTATGGCTATAAAGATAACGCAAAATAATATTCAAACTCACATTAGACACTTTTAACATTAAATAAAGCACATAGTCATTACCTGAGATTATTATTATTTTGTATGTTGTTCCTGCCGCGACGTCGCAGAAAATAAAAACCGTTCCTAAAATAAAATCCCATGTCGCTTATTGTCACGTGTCGCTGTCGCGGGTGGTTAGAACAAAAACTACATGGAAAAGATACTTTTTATCACGTCGTGTCTGGTTGGTTCAAACAGTGTTCCAGTTTGATCCCCCCCCTCAAAAAAATCTAACCATAAAAATATTAATACTGACAAATCTAATAATTGAATCTGCAATTAGGGAAAGTGAAGAGAAGAGATCCAGTCTGGGAATGAGCAGGAACAGTTGATTTGCATGGCAGACATGGAGATACAGAAGTTCTTCTGTATCTAAATGCAAAAATGTTCATAATTGTTTGAATAAAACAGACTACTGGGGAAAAAAAATCTGAATATTCATCCTCTGACCATCTTGTGATTATTTTAACAAAAGCAACAATAATATAATAATTGTAATAATAATAACTATTATTATATATAGCTATATATATATAGCTCAGTGGCCCTTGGCTTGGTATTGTTGGCAGAATTCGGCCCTCGGCGAAAACTAATTGAGGAACCCTGCTGTATGATAATTGAAATCGCGAAATGGCCTTAAACAATTAGTAAATAAACTGCAGAACGTTATGTTTTCTAATACACGCACACATTGCATGTATTCTGACAGCGCTGCACGAGCTTGGTGCGCTATCTGCTTGTTAACCAGGGTTCAAAGTCCAGAGCGCGAGGAAAATCTGCTCTCGTCAGTTGCTCAGTCACATTTTTATGAATTTTTACAAGGCATGTGACAATGCAATATGTACGACGTATTCATAATGAGACTCATTTATAAATCTGCTGTTGTCAACAAAAAGAAGCATTGAGGTCTTCCTGCACATTTCCGTCAAAGTAAAAGTTGAGAAAAAGCAAGAACTCTATCAACATTCATAAATGTTAGTATTGTAATTTTACTGTTGTTCTGTAAAATAAAATAAAAAGTAAGACAAGAATAATGATAATCATTACAACAGCTCTGTTAATACATTTATTATAACATTCACACATAGTGTTCAAATTAGGATCTGTAATATTTTCTAATGTTTTAAAATAAGTCTCTTCTCAGCAAGGCTGCTTTTAATTGTACAGTAAAAATGCATGCCGGATTCAAGAAGGGGGTCTGATGGCCAAAAAATATAATTTTACTAAGTTATTAATTTTAAGTTAAATTGTACTTTGTTGGTGTAGTGTCTGCTAGAATGTTAAAAATGTTCAGTGTTAAATATTTTTAAATTGTTGTTTTGTAATTGTGTAAAAGCACATTTTGGCTATTTAATTCATGCAATGGTGAAAAAAAAATTGGCAAAATACATGGGGAAAAAAACTAGAAAAACCGTGTTCGTATTCGGCCTTCGGCCCAGTGATTAATTTTGTTCGGTTTCAGCTTCGGCCAAGAATTTTCATTTCGGTGCATCCCTACAATTCAGTTCTTCCACCCTTTATCTGTTTGTTCCTTCCTACCCATGTTCCTACCTTTCTTTCTTTCATTCTTGCACCTGTCTGTTATTAACGCATGTCAACAGCATCCTTCTCTACCCTCTTTAAGTGCTTGTAAATATTTAATCGTTGCACCTCCTCCAACCAGAGTACATAAACACATTATTATGATTATTTATGTATATTGAGATCGGTTTGAATTTTTAAATGCACTAAGTGCTCTTTCTTTGATTGTGTTTTTGGTTGCCAATGTGTTTATCCCTGCAACTCCACAGCATCTGCATTCAGGTGAAATATTTATCAGGCCTGTTGCAATGCCATGCATAGGTGCAATGGAATTTATGGACTTTCGTGTATGTGCTGCATTCATCCGGATGCCACAGATTTCACCTGTCGCATTGTAAACACCCCTAACACTCAGGTCGAGATTTCGGAGAGCTTCCTTTCAGAGCATTGGGGCGTGGAGTGTTGCAGCTGTTTTTATTATATACCAAGTGTGCCCAAAACATCCTCACTCACACTGAAATAAACAGACGAGCTCTTTCTGTCTGTCAAAGTGTTGCGTTTGCCCACACGACAACGTGTTGAGTGGGCCAGCACTGAAAAGATCAGCCAGTCGTGTGTTATCTGCACCCCACGGCATGATGGGAGATGTTGTCAAGGGTTGTTTCGGGGGGATGGGGAGCCTCTGAAGTAGCTGTCTGTTGGAGTAACATGGCTGTCGTTGAACTGAAAAGGCTTGGGGTTTTTTTGTGCTCGGCAAACAGGACAGGTCTACATGATGGCTGGTTTGAAAGCAGAGAACGACCCAAAACTGATTTTTTTGGGGGGCTCTTATTTCATACAAGGGATATAGATTTTGTATTGTGTTTAATTTGGTAAGCTGTTGGTTGTGAATTTGAATGATTATTTTGGATTATGTGTAGGAATAAAACCCATTTGACATCTTGATTTTCCCTTCAGTCTGCTTGAGATCAATCTGTAACTAGAGTATATCGCCGTCAATCAATAATCTGAAGCATCTGTGATTGGCTCTCGCTTTCGCCTTCCCCTGTCCTCTGAATTGCTTCAGTCTGTCGTGTGCTTCTCGGACTTAGCGTGATGTTGTCAGTTCGAAAATCACAAGCATACTGAATTCATTACCGCAGTCGTCACATAAAACCATGGATACGATTTCAATAACTGCAGGCCACAGTTGAGTAAACAGTTGCACTGAAACTTAATTCCTGTTGACTTTGCCTTCATTCTGTGCCAGGGGCTCAATCTGATTCACTCGGCTGAGACAACAGGGTTATGACTCTGACGAATGCAAGGAAATGGAGAGAAAAAGAAGGGAGAGGAGAAAGAGAGAGGCTGATCGTCAGAGCAGTTGACCGAATCAGGGATGTGCACTTGACACTCCAACAAAAAAAGAGTAATATTTAACATTACTTCATAGTTTTATTATGACTGTGGTGAGTAAAGGAACCATCTTTAGCCTTTTCATGCTTGTTTATCAATCAATCAATCATTTTTTATTTCGGTCCTCACAGACAACTTTTCACAAAATAAATAAATAAGGTGGTGAATAACAGTATTGGAGAGCAACTCATTTAACAGCTTTTTGAAAATAGTGTAGCTTAAAACTACCATTAAAAGCTAGTTTTTCTATGTGGAGCATAGTTTCCATTTAAAGTAGAAAAGAAAAGAAAAGGAAAAAGAAAAATCGACCATAATATAATTACCCTTGTGTCGTTAAATATTTTAAGGAGGTTACACTTATTTTTGTCCATTTGATAAAAGGCCAGAGAGTCTACAGCCTACTTTCTACTTTCTTCAACAGTTTCTACTTTCTTCTGTAGAACTGTAGAAGAAAGTAATATCAAATACGGTTATGAATGGCATGAGGATGAGTGAAAAATGACAAAATTCAAATTTTTGGGTGAACTGACCCTTCAAGTTTCGTTAAGGCATGTCTGAACAAAGCAAAAATTCTAGTCTAAATGTCATAGCTTATAAATTATATTTTGGTTTTCATCAGTTTTGATCATTACAACCAGATCTTCGTTTTTTCCCAAGAACAAGGATTCAGTTATGTGATAATTGACATCTTTTATACAACAGACCAGTCTCTTTGCTTGTGTTGTGCACACAGTACATAAAGCGTGACCTTTTTAAACCTCCAAAAGCCCAGTTTCTCTTCTGACAAGCTGTACGGTTTTATTATCTCTCAATTTATAAACCCCTACGACTCCTTAAATATGTGAAAAACAACAAACCTGGAGGCTGACATATCATCTATCCTGATTAGTCGACATAACTGTGAAAGACAGTGCTCATTAATAAAGACGAGGGATAAAATAATTGTAATCTGTTTGATCATCTCGACCT